AATTTTATCTTGATTTCTAATAAATTAATACTTTATCGTTAATAGAATCGATTATTTTAATATTTTATTAGGAGAATAATATATTATATTGCATTTTTGGAATGCAGGCGGATCATTTTATCACTCGAATCTGCTTCATGCAAAGGTTAAAGCAGATGCTAATTAAAAGATGCGATCGAGACAGTCTGCTGAATATCAACGCTCAAGATCGCATCGATTTCAACTTGGCGAGACAACGAGGACACGAAAAAAAGAAATGAGGAAGTCGTCATTTTAATATGAAACGATAAAGTAAGCCAATCTGCATTTGTTAAAAGATTCTCGTGTATGTACATCTACTTACTCGTCGGCATAGTTTACGTCGCCTCGCCGATATCACTCAAGGACGGCACACACACACACACGCACGAAGGACATCTGAAATCAAATATCAAAGAAGATACCTAATAAAATCGAATCATCATAAATTCATCACGCACGTTATATCACAAAATTTGCATATATAAATATTATGAATTAAACATAAAACTTTATGAATATAAACTGCTGTCAAATATAATAAATATATATTTTAAATCTTGATTTTTCAAAATGTAATATAGAGAAAAAAATATATATTTTTTCAAACGTTTAAAAAAATATAATAATCGATATCGCAGCAGTGCATTACCTCTTCGCATGCATACATTTGAAAGCATCTGGAGCTTTGCAATAACAACTCGCAATAATCTATCCTTTCCCGAGCGTTTCACGGAGGATACCTATAACGACGGCGGCAGAGTGAAAATCGACTTGTAGCTGGAAGCTACGGCGGAACTTTCAAATCGTCACTCTACCCGGCCTTCACATTTTCACTAGATGATTTTCACTCGACCGCCGCTGATTCACTTTCCTCCTCGGGTGGGCGTCTACGCCGACCGCGCGCGCAAAAAGGCGCAAGAGAGCCGGTCACGAATCTCGTCGAGATATCGAACTGTACTACATTGCGAACGATACGTACCATATATTATGTTATCAGATTGAGCGGACTGCACAGCTCCTTCACGGAACTTTAGTTTAATCATTCAAGATTATTTCGCGCTGCAAGTTTATTCCGTCGAATTTTCAGAAATAGAAATTCGTTGAAAATTGATTACTTCTTTTTGCATACAGTCGAAATAAGGCGTTCATTAGCAATGTCGCGCCTTGTGCAATGACTCTTTTCAGCAATAGCTGCGAATTCGAATAGAAAGCAATCTCGGCGTAGAGAGCAGCCGTACATTAACTCGATCTTACTCGCGACTCTATATCACTTGCAATTATCGAAGCTTTCACCCTCGCGCTCACACAGCCCGCTCACCTCTAATCGTTCTAAAATCGGTGCGCCATTATCGCGCGTCACGATAGACCCCGAGCGTTATTATCATCCGAACTTCGGCGTTACGGTCCATTTGATTTATCGCCAGAATCCTGGATCGCACGCTATAGGAAAGGGTAAAGGGAAAAGAAGCAAGAGGTCGAAGGAGGTGGTGGCGGCGGCGGCGGCGGCGGTGGAAGAGGAAGGGGAGGAGGACAAAGTGGCCACAACACCGAGGAGAGAGAAAGAGAGAGAGAGACCTGAATACTGCTGTGTGGTACCGGATGAAGAGAGAATGCCCGGAGGGGGGAAAACGGGAGGACGATTTGGACAGCGACGGCCCTGAGCCACTTGCCACAGTAGGTCAGCTCTCTTCACCTCGCTTCGCCTCGTTTTTCAAGCCTCCATTGTACACACGACGAGGAGATCCTTCTCCATCGAGCTCTTCGACGGAACCAATCGACGGGTGTGCACGTTTTTCTCTCGCCACCCTCTGCTGCATGCGTATACTTTGTATAGGGCCCATTTTCCCATCGCGTATTCGCCGTCCGCGTCCGTGAATAGATCTTGAATTTCCTTTATCTAGAATCTTTATTGAACGCGAGAAAATAATCTGTCACATTTTCCTGGATTTATAGCGGTAGAAATTGAGATTGCCAAAATTATATACGTCGACTCTTTTGTGTGAATATAGAGACGCTCGAATATTGAAACTTTATCACGTTAAATTTACATTGGAAAAATGCAAAGTATATTCGACATTCCGCGTGCCAGATTAGAATTGTCTTAAAGACACGATTTCATGTAGGATGCAACATTCTCTTGTGAGACAAAAATAAGTTATAAAATGATTCTTGCCTCGATTTTTACAGACAATGTAACGGAAAAAGTGGGTCGACAGCTAGCATAACTCTTCGGTAAATTAACAGCGGCTGAAATGGTGTCATGTCGCAATTTTGTGGAAACAATTCGCGCCAGCCTTTGCTCAGCCCCGAGGGAAGCGTATCGCCCTAATGTAATTAAGAGAGGACCGTGAATAATGTCCATTAATACTACAGTATATTGTTTCGCCGAATAGGCACTTGACATTCGCGAGAACAAAATTTGCGCTAGCAATTAATAATTTCAGGATCCTAATGTCACGGATTTAATTAAAAAAGAGAATTCTCGAAACTTGACGTAATTCTAAATCTAATTCATATATTATTCCGTAAAAAAGTAAGAGAGAAAATTAATATTTAGAATAATTTATTTTCTTCAATAGAGCAAAACTCTTCTCTCTTTCTTCGCAAAGTGAATTTCCAACTTTTGTACTTTCGAATAAAATATATTCTATTCATGTCTTTTATTTCTTTTCCTCGATTGCCGGCGAGAAATCCGAATCCCAAGATTTATAAATCACGTAGGGCACGTGGCACCGTGAGCACATTTTCTCCCAGATGCTATTCGGATCGATAATCCGTTCTCGACGTCACGTCGAGATTTTTCCCTTAGGAAGTTCATCGGTCCGCGACGAGAGAGAAATAGAGAGAGATAGAGAGAGAGAACTCATCGTTAACCTCGATCCTCTCTCGTAGCCGCAATGTTTAACACCCGACTCCCACTCGTATAACTGTACCACTAGGTCGGTCAGGTGGCATCAACGATCGATTAGTTAGGTGTCATTTGGGAAACTTGGATGTTAGGGCCGTGACATGAGGAGACCGAGAAAAGAACCAGCGAGAACAACGGCAAAAATAAGTTATAAACGAGAAATAAATATAAAAAAATCCAATTTATGCGAATATCAAATGTAGATATCTATTTATGATACTTATTTTCTATTTCCAACCGATCGCAATATCAATATTCTAATAAATCCCACTTATCCCTTCTATTTTGTTATTTATCAATTATTGCTTTCATATTCTTTCATCGTCAATACTGTATTTCACTTTTTCCTTTTATACTTCATTATTATATTCATTATACATATGTTTATTACTCTCCTAACTTATTTCTCCGAATGTTTTTACCTATCTAACTTGGTTTGTGTTTTAGTTACATTGATTCGACAACAGATTTGTAAAGGTCACGTTTACGCGCGAGAAAAGCATTCGAGTATGTAAATTTGTGAGGTATTACATCGATCTTATCATCGTTAAACTGAAAATGTACGTCGTTTACATCGGGACCAGTGCTTAAGAGAAGAGCATGTAAGGCTGAGCAAGAGTAGTCAAACTGGTTTGATATAAATCGTCTCTCAATTACAGGAATCGCGTCGGTATCGATTAAATCAGTATTAAACTGCTTGATCTGTCCGCAAACTAATAATCCACGTGGCGCCAAAAGATTCTTTACGATGATACGATGATCTCTTACCGTAACATCGTTTCGAAGCTTACTTTGTAGATTAAAAAAGAAGAAAATACAAGGGAGCAAAAAACATAAAAAAGATTAAAAGAAAATAAAAGAATACAAGTGAATGAATTGAGAGAATGAAAGACTATAAGAATGAATGTTTAATATTTAATATTAAATGATTTGATAATATTTAAAATATCTTCTAGCTAACCAGATAAATATAATAGATGTATTAAATGTTATTAAATTTTAAGACGTCTGTTATACATATATTTCTTAAGATTAAAATAAAAATAATATATATTGACTTACCAACATGATGCACAGCAGCGGCGTTGTAGCTTACATATTGATCTGAAAAATACAAATAAATCCAAATTATATTAGCGCTCAAGATAATTAATATTCCAAAAATAATTGTCACTCGTTAAATTTTTATTCATTTTAAACTAGATATGTAACAAAAAAGATTTTTATATATATATATATATATATCATATAACATAATCATAGCAATATATAAATGATTAATATTTCACATGCAAATAAAAAAAATTAATAAATTCCTTATCATAAAGGTGCTCCGCAGTTGCCCGATGTCCCCTGAATCTCCTCCTCCTCTCAGCAATTCATGGCAGCAGTCGTTGCTCTTTCACTCGCGGAAATACGAGGATATTTTATGTGGCGCGATATTTTATGTGGCATTACCGATATTAACCGACGCGAACTTTTCACACGACGACGGAAAAACTCGAAAAAACGCGAAATTGCGCGAAATTACAATCCGTTCGACACTCGTAACATCGAAAGCAAATAACGACAGTGGAGGAAAATCGAAAATTGCGCAATTAATTTTGTGTGCCAATCGTCATACAAAATTCGAAAGCAATTTCGAAAGCTATTGCGCTTTGAGAAAAACAAGATATATTTACACTTTTCAATGTGTTTTATCTTACAGTATAACGAATGAATAAAATGTACGCATTACATTCACATAATTCGCGCGGAATAAAATATCTGAGCCTAATCACAAGAGTTAATTGATCGTGTGAGCAGTAAATTAGCAATTGGTAAATGATCTTATAATATTTTCGTGATTCCCGCTGTCGTCTATTTCGTTTGAGTGCCGTCGTGTGAATAATAGAAGGATAATAGCGCGTGAACAGTAATATCGATACCCCACTACGTCTTACAATTAGATCACACAAATTGTAAACACTGACGTCACAAGCTTCTCCAAAATACCTACGCGTACCTCGGTGGTGTGATGTTGATATTCTGTCTTTCTCTCTTTTTCTGTCTCTTTTGTGTATTCGCGTGCTATTACCTTGTTGTTATTCGCACATCGACACTCAAGGAGAACAGACGGCAACAAAAATCGCTTCAATCGCTACAATACATTTTATATCGCGACAATTATAAGATTATTTGCTATAAATGGTGATTCACTGTACATACGATTAATTAATATCCGCGATAAGCAATTTAAACACTTTATTCCGTGCGAATATATATCTCAATTATTACTTGTACAATATTTAATTATCCTCTGCCGTTGTTCTCTGCTTTCCGTGATGAGAGTCGAACGGGTCATAATTCCAATTTCGTAGTTTTGCCGAGTTTCTCTTTTGTCATGATGACAAAGTTCGCGTCGATTAATATCAGTGGTTCCGTATAAAATATCGTGCGATCGTCGTATTTTCGCAAGTGAGTCGCGAAGGAGCAGCTGATAGATTGTTGAGAAGAGAAGGGGGTCCAGAGAACACCGGGCATTGGTAGAGTAACTTTATGGTGAATAATTTGTTATTTATTATTTTATATTTGCACGTAAAAAATATTAATCGCTTATTACTAAATCATATGATATGATATTTTATCTCATCTTGTGTAATACAACATACATATATAAAATATTTTTTATTCAACATTTATTTTAAAATAAATAAAAATTCAATGCGTAGCAATAATTATTTTTGAAATATTAATTGCTTTAAACTAATATAATTTTTTGTATTTTGCAGATCAACATGTGAGCTGCAACTCTGCTGCTGCGCATCGTGTTGGTAAGTCAACACATATCATTTTTATATATATATATATTTTAATCTTAGTATATAATAGAACATCAAAATTTAATAACATTCAATATATCTATTATATTTATCTAGAATCTACACCTAGAATCTAGGTTAGCTAGATTTCGAATATTATTTCGAATATTATTAAATTATTTAATATTAAATAAATTTTGAAAAATGCCTAGAATATTAAATAAAATTTTACATTTAATTTGAAAATGTTAAATATTTATATATATATATATATATATATATATATATGTTTTATGAAATTTATAATTATTTCTAATATTTGCAAGAATAAGATTTTTATTAATCTTCAAATTATTTGACATTTGATCTCGAAATTCAAATTGTTCGAACTACATGAATTTTTCAAACACTATTTAGAATCCCTCGTCTGTCTCTGTGAGCAGCATACAATAGCAAATAATAATAATAAAGATAATGATAGTAATGATGAATAGATAAAGAGAACAAAGAACAGAAAAATTTATTTCCTCGTTTTCGTTCTCATTTTTGCCGCGATACGTCTATTTATATGTACAGATTGATGTTTGAAGTTGCGAGGCAAAAGGGATGACGGTGGTTGAAGAGAGTGGCAGGCAGCTGCGCGAGAACGGTTCTGAAATCGACGACGAAACTCCCAAACATCCAACCACGATAACTCGTTTCACGGCTTTTCCACGAAAGTGGAGCGAGCGGAAAGGCGATTACCTCGGAAACTTGTGCGAAAGTTCGGCGAGGCGCGATATCGGATGCGCATTCATTCTTATTGATTGCATTGCGCTTATTCATGTAATTTCCAAAACGCCATTATTCCTCTAATGTAAAAATTCGGAATGACTCTCCACATTTATGTGATTTTTTTGTCGCAGATAATAGGTTAAGAATATTGACTTGTAGAAAACTTTTAATTTTACTCTACAAATTATCAGATTATATCCTCAAAGTACTGTGCAAGGACTATCACTCTACACAAACTCTATTATTGTAAGACATTATTTTCAAATATAAAGTAATGGTACAACAAAGTATAACAATATTAATCATAATATTGTTTAGTCGAAAAATCTTGATCATCTGCAATTCTGCAATTACTAGTTTCAAATATTATTAAAATACGAAAATTACAATAATAATATAAATTTTGTTTATATAATTTTCTCAAGAAAGTAGATAAAATTTAAAAAATATAAAAATCTGTGTGTGTGTGTGTGAATTTTTCCATTGAAATAAAAAATAATTTAATTACTTAATTTTAAACCACCAGCGGTCAAAAAAGATTTTATTCATACGAAAACTTGCCTCTTAAAGCAAGAAGGAATGAAAGCGTTCTTTCGCCCTCGTCGACAGGACAAAGCAGTAGCGAGGGTAAAAACCTAGAGGGTTCGAGGGGTCCCCTATCGTTGGGCAGTCGAAAGAATCGAGACGCATCTCAAAAGGGCCGAGAGGTACCCTAAACGCGTTTTCTGACGATTCTCATTTCCATTCGTTTCATTGTGGAAGGCGACATATGGTATTCGCTTTGTCTACGACAAAAAGCTTCTCTTCCTCGATGATACGATAATAAAAATTGATTCTAATGCCAACCGCAAAAATTTAATCTCACTACCGTAGTTTTACCATAGTTTTACCGCATTTTAATATGTAAACAACGTTAGAATACAATCCCCTTCGGAATAATATTGTGTTTCGTTTTAATCTTTATAATATCAACTCATTATTACCTGGAGATTGTATTTTTCCAAATATTTTATATTATCGAAAACATAATGAGTAAAAGATAACATAGTATTAGAGGTAAGAAATAGTGTTCAAGGAGAAAGTGGTTTGTAAAGTACCGTAGATACATATTTTTTCTAACTAAAATTCAAGTGACTGATCTTCAAGGACTGTCATTACAAACTAAAATGTAAAATGTAAAATACAATTTCAAGGTTGTTTCTTTTAACGTTTCTATATTTTTAGAAGGTTAGGTAAAATTAACCGTGAAAGACTAAATATCTCAGGTACTTCTACAACTTTCTTACCCAAAAGTTTTTATTCAACTGTTTACGGTAGTCGAGAAAATGAGTTTTCTATGCCGAGAGCCCGATTTCACGCGCGGGAGAAAAAAAAAATGTGATTTCGAAGTTTCACAGAGTGGAGGAAAGAAGTTCTCGAGCGAGCGAGTGGGTAGCGCGTAAACAGCGAACGACTTTGCTCACACGCAGGCTTTCCAACGCGATATTTCTGGTGATAACTATGCCAGGGACTGCCGGGTAAGTAGCCACTATAATGCGGCTCGGTTCGGAGTAAAAGTACATGGGTAACCTCGTAAGCGGGTTCACCGTGTCGCTTTCACTCCCCGTGCGCGGTGCCGCAATATTATCCGCCGTTCGAGGACCAAGCACGACCAGTGAGCGCGATCCGTAGATCATAGACGCAACGATCAAACCGCGTGCAAGTTAATACAAAGAGTACATATAATTATCACGTTTACAAGATCGAATGTAAACGAGATCGCAGTAAAAAATTACGACTTATTAGGAATATAAAATATTTTAACGTCAATCTGTTACACAATAAGTTAGAATATCAAAAATATTTATATAAATGTGAATGTGTTTTTGTTCAAGATATTTTAATTAGCAGAAAAGAACTGCAGAATAATTAGCAGAAAATATTTTAAATCGTATGTTGTATATTGGAATGTTTTCGATTCGCGAGTCGTGCTCGAAGGATAAGAAAAATAAAAAAAATTATAATAAGCGATGTTATATGCCGCAAAATATGCAAACGCGTCCAAGGACTGAACTTCGGTTACCACATAGCTTCTTTCGATAGCTTTTTTACGCGTCGTGCATAAGCACGTTTCTCGAGAAATCAAAAATAAATAAAAAGCATAAAAAGATACATTAACATGATACAAAGTTCTTTTGGACAAAAAATTATTTAGTAATAAACGAGAAATATGTAAGGTTCTTGAATAAAAATTATTTATTAGACTACGTGTCGAATAAATCACGTGTTACGCGTATCACGTTTACTAATCAAGAATAGAAATTGCAAGGAATTAAAACATCACAAGAACGGATATAATCAACGTATAGGCGTTCTCACTTCTCGACTCCTTTTCGCGCCAGCAGGAAGTTTCGATGAGCGGTGAAATGACGTTCGTTACGAATGCATTGTACGCACTATATGCATGCACGTACGGAATATATGTGTGTATATATACGTGTATAGGCGCGCTGAGAAACTGCGCCCACACAGACTACATAACCGACCGATCAACAACGGACGGCGCGTGGTTTCCGCGTGGTTGCGTTCTCCTCTCCGCGAGAAGGGAAGCGAAAGAAGGGGAGAAAGGAAGAGGTGGGCGGAAAGAAAGGAAGGAATAGATTGTTCATTAATCGCGTGGGGAAAATCCAGAGGCGAACGGGACAAAATTCGCATTAATCACGATAATTATCAGACGCACGACTCGCGAATCAATATTATCGTCGGCGATTAATGATGACGTTCCGTTACATCGTCAGCGTGTGTCGCGCGTGTTTGCCGCACCAACGTGAGGTATTGATTAATAAATCACCCGAGATCGCTCGGTGATGATGAAGCGCGAGGGAGAAACTGTGAGAGATAACGCGAGATGGATAATTTGTTTACGCCGTGCGTCAACCGATCGCGACGATTCCTACGCAACGGACACTTAGGCTTCCCTCTTAAGAGCATTCACTCGAAACCCGCATAATACGCGAAAGTAACGCGAGATCTTCTGGAGCGTACCGTTTCTCTCGCGCAGTGTGCGGCCATAATGTCGGCTCTTCGAGCCAAGTATGTACATTGCCGGAATTGAAATAAAGAAAGCATATTTACATTTTAATAAATAAATAATAATTTAAATGCTCATTTTTTTGTATAATTTTTTATAAAAATGTTTTAGGAAGCTACGATATTTAACTCGTTCCCTTTCAAAGAAAAGTCATCCCGAAAACGCCAACAAATGAAAATTAGGGCGGTGGTTATTTAACGCGATATGTCAACCTTGACCTACGACTACATCGATACGCGTAGAAAACGCCACCGCGTTACAACGAAATTGGGTTGCGTTATGAGTGGTGAAGCTTTTTACACGAATCCGTCTCTTCTTCTTCTTCCTCCTCCTCCTCCTCCTCCTCCTCCTCGTTGAGAAGGTGCGATACGGTGCTCGTAAGGAGAACGGAAAGCAAAGCGGAGCATCGTGTTTATGTAGGTAGGTAGGTTGCACGACGAGGTCTCCGAGAGATCTCGCGAACTTACCTCGACAATATATCTATATAGAGTGCTCGGCGAAAAGTGCAAGAAATTTACAAATCAATTGAAAAGTTTATGGAAGGTAAAATCAAATTATTCTAGCAGATTAAAGTTGAAAAGTGCGATAAGGCAATCAAATGTTATTTGTCACTGAATTTCTCTCGACTTTTAAAAAAATATTTCATTTAAAATTTATCCGACTATCAATTTGCACAATATACGATAGTAACCTCGAAATAAATTTTTGCTGTCTATTAAAAATTCACGCAAAACAAAAACGTCGTCCAAGTGTCTTTTTACACTCGACATATGCAGATATACGCGTATTTGCGAATTCCGCGTCTCGCGTTGTGTTGGGATTTGTGCACACACGCGTGAATACTCGGGCGCGAGCTCGCGTGTTTGTGGCCACGCGATGTGACACCCAAGATGACGACGATGGTACAGAACACTTGACAGGGACACGACGGGGTCACGCTCTCACTTACGACACGACCGGCGCGGTTAGCCTAGATCACAAACACACGCCTTCTTTCTCGTGTGGAGAAGTTATAATATTGTGGAACGCACTGAAAGGCAGCGTGTCCAATTCGGTGATACATAACATTGAAGAACGTTGCTATGTACGTTCTCGCGCATCGATCCTTGATGATCAATGCTAATCCGTAGAATATTCAAATTTTAACATAACGATAATTTAAATGACATTCACATTATAATGTAAAATAAGGTTTCTTGAATTTGTATCTTTGAGAAGAAAAATGGGAGAATTGATTTAAAATCTGTCAATTAATCTGCTTTGAATATGCAGGCAAAGTCATGACAATTCCAGAGCTTCTATTGCCAGAATTTCTGACTGCATTTCTGGCTTGGGCGGTTTAGCATAGCAGTCGGCCAAGCATCAATCGCTGCTAACTCTAGTTCGTGGTTTTCAATGCGTCCACCTCGCGTGGGCGGATACTTTACTCTCGGCGTGCATTTGTGTGTAACTGCGGCCTCTGTTGTGTTAACGTGACCTCGTCGTAGTCGCGTGGTTGAATAGGTCCGTCAATGGCTTGTTTCATTGAATTAAATAGGCCAGTCGTGCACGTGCGTAATTATTCCTGTGTGAGAAAATGATTAGAGGGGCTCTTCTTCACAGAGAGAGAGACTCGCTTTTGTCGCGCGACGGCGTCTTCTCAGTACCCAAGATTAATTATCTTCGATAAATATGTCATTAATATGCAATATGAATGCAATATTATTTAGCATTATCTGCGACAAATTATATTAAATCTGAAATTTGAACGACATAACGCAAGTTTTAATATTGCTCGCAGGAAAAACTGGAAAAATTATTTCCAGAGAATTTGCTTTGTCGGTTGACGCTCATTATCATAAATACGCGTTATGACGGATTGAAAGTATGCGGGTTTCGTTCGCATAGGGTGCAGATACTCTTACGCGTGCTCCGAATTGCAAGTAGAACGTACTTGCGTCTTGAAGGCGCGATAAGTGGACCGAGACCAAGTCCCGTCTCGTCACAACGAGCCTTTATATGTTTCGCGCACGTTGGCTAGCATCGCGAGAGTTTTCAAAACTTTAATCGTTCACGACCACAAGGATGTAGCCTTCTTGGACCTCAAGAACCAAGAACACATATCTATCATTAGCACATGTATATTTATACTTAAATGTTTCGGATTGCTGGAATATTTCAGATTAAACTTGTCAGAATTCGTTTCAGATTTCTCGAAATTATGTTTCAGCATCAAATATTTTTCAGTTATAGAAAAATATATATATTTATATTTTTATATATAAATATATATAAATATATATATATATACATATATTTAAAAAA